ATCATATTTACCGTCAGACACTCTAGTATCGGAATTGAAAATGTAAACTCGGCGTACAGGAAAGAAATGTGTCATTAAGTTTAACGACACCGAGTTATATTTGCAACATGTCAACAATATCGATCAAATGCATCCTTTACTGTATTTTCATTATCGCGTAAGCGAATAAATACTAATAATTAATCTTGTTACGTAAAAAAAGGGAAATTAAGAATGTCTAGCAATTTTCTTTAACTTTAAGCTCTTTTTCATTTTTTCCAAGTTTTGAGCTGGAAAAGGAGCGTCTAGGAAGAGAGTGCATTTTTAATAACACAATCGAATAATTGCAAAGGAATAATTATGGATAATTAGTAATGCCTAATAGTTTTTCTATAACTTAGAGCTTTCCCTTATCTTCAAGTTTTAAGCTCGAAAGGGACTCTCTAGCAAAGGATCGTATTTTCATTAGTATATAAGCGAAAGAATAATTAAGAATAATTAGTAATACCTAAGAATTTTTCTATAACTTTGAGCTTCCCTTATTTTCAATTCTTAAGCTCGAAGAGGACTCTCTAGGAAAGGATCATATTTTCATTAGCATATAAGCGAAAGAATAATTAAGAATAATTAATAACATCTAAGAATTTTTCTATAACTTTGAGCTTTCCCTTATTTTCAAGTTTTAAGCTCGAAGAGGACTCTCTAGGAAAGGACGGTATTTTCATTAGCATATAAGCGAAAGAGTAATTAAGAATGATTAATAATTCCTAAGAATTTTTCTATATCTTTGAGCTATCTCTTTTTTCCAAGTCTTAAGCTCGAAAAGGACTCTCTAGGAAGAGACCGTATTTTCATTAACACATAAACGAAAGGATAAGTAAAAGTAATTAAGAATAATTAGGAACACCTAAGAATTGCTGCTATAACTTTGAGCTTTCTCTTATTTTCAAGTTTCAAGCTGGAAAAGGACTCTCTAGGAAGGGACATCGACCTCGTCGAGGAACTTCTTCGTCGGCGAGGAACGCAAGAAATTTCGCCAGTGGTCTGAGGGCACTAATCCACTTGCGCTCTAGATTGCAGCATTGAGACCGATCCGACAAGGCCGGACGAGCAAGATTGAAACGAACATTATGTCCCGAGGACTTTAAAACCCGGAGCTTTCTCGAGGATGGTCCCTGTTCATTTTCCGGGATCAACGGAGCGACGAACTTTGTTCTCCGACGACTCTTCTGAGCCGCCATCTTGCTTTATCTGAGACAGTTTACACCTTGTCGTTTAATTTCTTAAACCGAGTGTATCCCAAGTCCTCCCTAAGAATGCCTCTTTATCACAGAACTAATCGTCGTTATCTGCAGAATGAGATTTCGGCGTTCTCCAGGTTCTCCAAGCGGGACCATGTGTTCTTTCCAGTGTGTACCTGTGGCTATCGACAAAATTTGTTCCAGGTTGTAATTAAAGGAAACAGTACATATCGATCGGAAGTTAAAAACCCTCCGTTTTCGTCTAATCGAAGTTTATTTACACAGCAAAGCTTCTTCCGCGTTCTCTGAGTTCTCCAGGTTCTCCAAGCGGGACCATGTGTTCTTTCCAGTGTGTACCTGGGGCTATCAACAAATTTGTTCCAGGTTGTAATTAAAGGAAACAGTACATACTGATCGAAAGTTAAAAACCCTCCGTTTTAGTCTAATCGGAATTTATTTACACACCAAAGCGTTTTCAGTGTTCTCCAGGTTCTCCAAGCGGGACCATGTGTTCTTTCCAGTGTGTACCTGGGGCTATCAACAAATTTGTTCCAGGTTGTAATTAAAAGGAACAGTACATATCGGTCGGAAGTTAAAAACCCTCCGTTTTCGTCTAATCGGAGTTTATTTATACACCAAAGTTTTTTCGGTGTTCTCCAGGTTCTCCATTTGGGACCAAAAGAACGCGGCCACATCTTCGGGTCTGCAAAGACAGCGTAGTAAACGGCGTCCAACTTATGTCAGACTGTACTCGACTCGGAAGACGCTGATGAGCTCTGTATGAAAGATGGGTCAGGGTCATGCACTACGCAACTTAGTACACACATCGTCAAGATTTCGTAGGCGTAAACGCAAATTGACGAGCAAATGCGCGGCCATTTCTTGCGGCCGACGCGGCTCCGCCATTTGTTCAATGCGTAGTTTTGCATGCAAGTCCGGCATCTCCCGATGGATGACACAACTTCGTTACCGAGGCTGTTTAATTACCTGGAAAAATGGCGGCCATAAGTGCCGAAGGCCTGCCAATGCGACAGACATCAGCCTCGATCCTGTTCCAAACTTACGATAATTACAACTACCCATGAGCGTCTATTTGGTGGAATTAAATATCAAGGAACATCACCTTAATATTTATAAAGAAAGTATCGTCATTAATATGCTTCCGCCATTTTAAACCTTAAATCAGTGGCAGGTGAAGAGGGCAACGTTTCCTTAGGCCACCACTCATTAAGGCGATATGAAAGGGTCGTTTTATATATTCCAAACTTACGATAATTACAACTAGCCATGAGCGTCTATTTGATGGAATTAAATATTAAGGAACATCACCTTAATATTTATAACGAAACTATCGTCATTAATATGTTCCCGCCATTTTAAACCAGTGACAGATAAAGAGGGCAACGTTTCCTTAGGCCACCACTCATTAAGGCGATATGAAAGGGTCGTTTTATATATTTAAACATCGAAATATTTATAAATCTTTTCTCCAAACTGAGTGCACCGAATTATCTGAAACATTAACACGTGATTATGGAGGCCCTAAGGAAGAACGCGATGCTCGTGAAATTTCATTTTTCTAAAAAAAAACGTCTTTTTTTATTCTTGTTCAAGATGAGTAGACATTTTTTTCGAAAAATGAAATTTCACGAGCATCGCGTTCTTCCTTAGGCCGTTCGTAATCAGGTGTTAAAATTTCAAACGATTCGGTGCACCCATTTAGGAGAAAAGTTTCATAAATATTTTGACTCTTTGGTGTGTATAGGTGTATCACACTTTCATATCACCTTAACTGTTGAAAGAAAATCTGTACCCAGGTTAGGTGAGTTGTAAGAAGGGCACCCACTCAAGAATTCATACCTTTATGGAATATAGAAGGAAATATTGTCACGGTTTGCGATATTTCTGTTTAATGGGATTAAGGGCCGGTGCAAATGTCGCGTGAATATGAATACTATTGAAAGTGGATTACTTTAAAGGACCACCGGCCATCTTGGACGGTCAAGGCCGGAGGGACGGAGCGATTGCCGTGAACCCTTTAAAGCTTAGGGGTGAACTTAAGGATTCGCTCGATAAAGACGACGCCGACGTCGGAGGACGCCGAATTCATTAGAGGCCAAATCTGGGAGGCTTAAAAATTAAAAGGCTCTCAAACAAAAACTCTGAGGCTTTACCCTTTCCCCCGAGTTCGCCTAATCCTGCCTTCGGCCTCGAGGAGACGCGACCTCCTCGCGACCCCTGTGCCGCCATTTTTTAATTAATCCTTAACATTATTCTCGTTTACTCCTTAAGAAGGCTTCGATCTATATACCACGACGTTTAAACATACAATTAAAAATTTGCTTGGAGGTTGAAAGTTTGATCTAATTGCGACCCCTGCGCCGCCATTTTTTAATTAATCCTTAACATTATTCTCGTTTACTCCTTAATAAACCTTTGATCTATATACCACTACGTTTAAACATATAATTAAACATTTGCTTGCAAGTTAAAAGTTTGATCTAGTCGCAACCCCTGCGCCGCCATTTTTTAATTAATCCTTAACATTATTCTCGTTTACTCCTTAAGAAGGCTTCGATCTATATACCACTACGTTTAAACATACAATTAAACATTTTGCATCAAGGCTTTTTAATGAAAATATATTAAACGAATAAAAGATCAAAAAAAAGTCCTGTACACCCATTTAGATAAAATGTTGAATTTTCAAGACAATAGCAGGAAATTGTCTGAATACGGTAAACTGCATCTTGAAAGATGCGATTTTATGAACATTTTCATTGTTTTTACGTCGCCTAAACAGGCAATTATATATTATATAGTTAATAGTTTAACTCGCTCATGTTCCAACTTCAAATATGTCTTGATAATTGTTTCTTGGTAGACCTAAAACTGATTTCGTCGGGTCTACAACATATGATAAGAGTGCATGCGATAAGGAACGAGCATGCAACAGCACATTCCAAACAGCTGATTGATCAATATTTCGAAATTTCGATGATATCATTTCTTCAGATCTACGTATAAATAATGCCGTCCCTGTGATACTTAAAAACCATTCCAATATAAATTTAACTCATAAAACATTAATTAAAGTAGATTTCCAAAAATCTTGAAAATAAATCCAACCATTAATTCTAACAAGTTCACAAAGCCTCTTTGTGTACTTAAAATGTAAAGAGTAAATTTCGACATTTCTTTCTACCGAATTTAGACGCTTTCCGATGAAAACCCACTGTAAAGAAAATTAACCAGTGTTAATTCCCTCCCCGACAAATATTCGATAAACATTAGAAAATATTGTAACAGGAATGAAATTGGAATTAAAAAAAATCCAAAATCGCTTCCACATTTTAGCCCATTTTCAAAATTGGCGTTGCTAGTCATTTCGTATAAATCACTCAAACTAAAAGGAATAAAAAAAAATAAAGACAACTAATGACCGCAACAGTCGACATCGATATTAAATTAAAGAAAAAAAGAAATTCAAGAAAGGATGACATCGTGGAGACAGGATCTATGGAATTCCCACCAAGATTTAACAACGAAGACATCAGAATCGAAAGCGAGAAAAACTCTTGAGAACTATTTCTTTTTTCTTTTCTTTTTTCCGCCATTCCTCTTTCTTGTCATAAGTGAAACAGTTGCGCAACAAATATGGCGCCGGTTTAACAAGAGAGTGACTTAAATGAAACTTCATTGTCTCCGGAAAAATATGAACAAAATGGCGGATGGTCTCCATATATCCTACGTCCGTGGTTGAACGTAACGACGTACAAGTTTGTTCCTTAAAAACGTTAAAACTTTTATTTACAAAAGATGCATCTTCTACGCGTTCTCCCGCGGCTTAATTCGAAAGGACGCAAAAGTAATCCCTAACAACCTGCGTTATAGATTTTCAAAATTCATTGTTACTGAGCTGATTGGGCATCCCCTTCGCGGTTCCTTTCTATCCTCTGACTTGGATTCGCACTTCCGTTCACTTCCAGCCTTTGATTAGTGTCAAGAATCGTCGGCAGATCTTCCTTCACAAGCCGTCTGCGTCCATCGTCCTCTAATGCGCCGTAGAGATCCAAATCCTTGCCCAAGTAGCATACAACAATGTCGAAAAGAACGCCCAGAAAGGAGAACCCTGAAAGCGGACAAGACAAATGTGTGTATCTGTGTTTTTAAGGTGATATGAAAGAGTGAGCATATATATATGTCTGATAAGTCAAATCGGCGGTGCAAGTAGTCTCCGAATTGGGTGTAACGATTTGTTTCAAATTTCACCATGGGAATATGGAGGCCCTAAAGTAGGTCCTGGAACTCAGGAAATTTCATTTTTCATGAAAAAATTGAGATTGACAGTCAATTGTCTGATGCCGATACTTGGATGCGACGGAATTACCCGTTGCACTGCCAATTGAGCTGTCGATTGCTTATGTCGAGTCATACTGAACAAAGTAGTGCAAAGATCTTGAAGAAAGAAACGCCATAGTCCTAAAGTGTGTAATCCCAGTATGTAATAAAATTGATTTCTGAATAAATTTCACCATTTTCCAAAACGCTCATAAGCCCAAAATGTACAATTTCAATTCCTACAAATCCTTGTATCTGCATCAATTGTCCGATGCCAATACTTGGATTTGCAGGTAATTACTCTTTGCACTCCCAATTTTTGGCTGTCGATTGCTTATGTCGATTGTGTATTCCAAGTATATAATAAAATTGATTTCCAACTAAATTCCAACATTTTCCAAAACGTTCACCGGTCCAAAATGTACGACTTCAATCGCTGCAAATCTAAGTACCGGCATCAGACAATTGTCCGATGCCGATACTTGGATTTGCAAGTAATTACCTGCCGCCGAAACATTCACCAAAAAGCGGAAGTTATCCCGGTGATAGAACCAGCAGTTCCCCCTGGTACCACAGGACTCTTCCCAGATCAGACAAGTAGAGTCGATGATGGCCCCATAGATAATGGGACCTGGTATCAGAGCAAACAGGGAAATGGTCATCAAGGTAACCCCTTGAGCGAAGCTCTTATCCTTCTTATCGACACTTCTGTAGTTGATCAAGACGTTTCCGATCTTCCCTGAGCATGCCAATGTCTGAACGATGCAGGTCAGCACCGTGAAGAGGATGTATGGTGTCCGGCAATCTGATGGACAAGGTCCAGCACTGACTTTGTCCATGACTGGGTCCTGAGGACTACTTTCTGGCAGTAAATAAACGCGTTCATTGGCAGGCCACGAATGGCTGGGATCCCCAGATCCTGGGAGTTCGAAACGACCTCCGAATCCAAAACCAACTTCGGCCATTAGTGGCCGAACGCAGCTGCAGTTTCCAAATTGCTTGTCGTCCAAAATGGTCATGCATCCGGCATGGCAAGCCGAGTAGTATGTCGTTCCTGATGGTTCATGGCAAACTGGAGCATACTTGATGCCCTCGCAGCCACAATTCACGTTGCAAGCTGCTGTCAGGTTCAGTCTGAAAAATCGCATTCTTAGTCAAAAGATGTCGACCAATATTTTGGATACACTAAGGAATTTATGATGACTCGAGAAATGTTGAATTAAATTTAACGTTATTGACGTTATGATGAAAGAAAGTCACCAATGCCCCATGCGGTTCATTTTAACTGTCTAAAAATTCGCAATATGAGTCAAAAGATGTCGCCCAACATTTGGGATACATTAAAGAACTCGTGATAACTCAAGGACTGTTAAATTAAATTTAACGTCATTAGCGTTATGATTAAAGAATGATACCAATGCCCCATATGGTTTATTTTAACAGTCTAAATATTTGCAATCCAAGTGAAAAGATGTCGATCAGTATTTTGGATACTGTAAAGAACTCGTGATGACTCGAAAAATGTTGAATTAAATTTAACGCCATTAACGTTATTATTAAATAATGATATCGATGCCCCATATGGTTTATTTTGACAGTCTAAAAATTCGTAATCTGAGTGAAAAGGTGTCGACCAATATTTTGGATACATTAAAGAACTCGTGATAACTCGAGAAATGTTAAATTAAATTTAACGTCATTGACGTTATGATAAAAAAAAAAGTCGCCAATGCCACATGCGGTTCATTTTAATTGTCAAAAAATTCGCAATCTGAGTGAAAAGATGTCGATCAATATTTTGGATACATTAAAGAACTCGTGATAACTCAAGGACTGTTAAATTAAATTTAACGTCATTAGCGTTATGATTAAATGTTGAATTAAATTTAACGCTATTAACGTTATTATTAAATAATGATACCAATGCCCCATATGGTTTATTTTACCAGTCTAAATATTTGCAATCTAAGTCAAAAAATGTCGATCAATATTATGGATACACCAAATAATTAGTGATGGCTCGAGAAATGCTGAATTAAATTGTTTCAGTTAATTTGTAGTTGAAGTCAGATGTTCATAATGTCATTAACGTCATAACATTACATTCATAATGACAGTAACATTATGATTAATGAATGATACCAATGCCAATGCGGTTCATTGTAACGTTATACGTAATTTGGAACTAGCCTAAATAATTTCTAATTAAGGTGAACTCACTGCTCGGTTTCCAGATTGAGTCCGCTGATTCCAGGATCTGCGCATCCCAGAAATATGAAAAAGATCTGACCAGCAACGAAACAGAAGCCGACCAAGACGTTCCAAGCTAGAAGCGGCCTTGGACCAGGCTTAAATTTGCTTATCACCGCCCCAGATAATAGGAAACCCAGAACCATTCCCACCAGAGATATCGGCCCTGCAAAATGATTAACATACGTAAGAATCTGGTTGAAGGAACCTCATTACATCTAATCACCATCACGTAATGGCATAACGCTTAAAACAGTTCTTGAAGATCCTTATTGATGATGGCGATGAAGATGATGGAATTTATATGATATTCTATAATTACTTCATCGTACTCTATCATCACATTTTCATCTAATTATCTTCAATACTCCTGATAATAATAACGATGATCATTATCGCGACCTCGTAATCATCAAAAAGGATATTCCAAGTCAGTCGGATGAACTCTGAAATCAATGATGAGTATTTGCGGATCTATCGATAGGTCATACCTGCAATTACTGTGCCACCGGCGGCAGACGTACTGTACTGTACTTCAAGGTACTTCGCTAAGAACGTGATGTACGCCGAGGCACCCAGAACGTAAAAGACCGCACTTAAGTTATTGCAGGTCAGCAGCCAATTGGTCAGGAGTCTCTTCATGGCTCTCGGGAAATCTTTCATGGTGGGGACGTGGATCTCTTCAGGGGCGACTTCGGAAATAACCTGACTTATCGACTTCTCCTCGGACTTCTCTTCCAACTGCATGTCCGATTTCAGGGGCAATTCGCCACTGTCCTAATGAACGGGACAAATGAAGTCATCATCTCTTCTATTAAACATACGTATCGTAAAGAAAATGTTAAGTACAATGTAACGAAACTTCCTGAAATGATATTAATTAAGACACGACTTCCAACTGCATGTCCGATTTTAGGGGAAATTCTCCATTGTACTAATGAACGACACAAACAAAGCCATAGTCAACATCCTTTCTATTAAACATACGTACCCGAAAGAAAATGTCAAGAACAAGGTAACGAAACTTCCTGAAATGATATTAATTAAGATACGACTTCCAATTGCATGTCCGATTTTACAGGCAATTCGCCACTGTTCTAATGAACGGAACAAATGAAGTCATCATCCCTTCTATTAAACATACATATCGCAAAGAAAATGTCGAAAACAAGGTAATGAAACTTCCTGAAATGACATCAATTAAGATGATACGACTTCCAACTGCATGTCCGATTTTAGGGGAAATTCTCTATTGCACTAATGAACGACACAAACGAAGCCATAGTCAACATCCTTTCTATTAAACACACGTATCCGAAAGAAAATGTCAAGAACAAGGTAATGAAATTTCCTGAAATGACATCAATTAAGATGATACGACTTCCAACTACATGTCCGATTTCAGGGGCAATTCGCCACTGTCCTAATGAACGGGCCAAATGAAGTCATCGTCCCTTCTATGAAACATACGTATCGTATAGAAAATGTCGAAAACAAGGTAGCGAATTACCTTCGAAATTTCCTGACGAGTTCCTGACTTCGGCAGGTGACGAGGAAACATGGCAATCAGGACCGCGAACATGCTCATGGTGACCCCAAGGATGATCCAGCCCAGCCACCAGGCCCCAAGCCAGCGGGGGTCCTTCTTAGTGATGACTGGATGTAAACTGGGATCAATGTAGAGACTGAGACAGCCATATCCCAGCAGGAACCCAATGGCAGGACCTACCGTTCTCAGGGCAAACGTGAATCCTGCGGAGAAGGTCAAGCCGGCCCTGTAGATTCGCGAAATCGCTCTTTTGCAGGTGCTTTGTCTCACTTTGTTTCCCTCATTAATTCAAAGAATAATTATTTAGCTCAGATAAACTCGAATAAATTGTCACGATTCCAAAGAAACGTTCGAGTTTATTTCAGCCAAATAATTATTCTTTGAATTAAAAATATATATCATTAGTTCAATGTCATTTTTTTCTCAAGGTAGTCTCGGAACAAAGTTGACAAGACGTGTGAATTGAGTCCATTCTATTCAGAATATCCAAAGTCGTGTTTCTTATCGAACTACCCTCGTTGCATCCAATTTATTCCAGTTTATTTTAGCTAAATAATTATTCTTTGAATTAAAAAAACGTATTTTATTAGTTCAATGTCATTTTTTTCTGAGGGTAGTCTCAGAACAAAGTTGACGAGACGAGTGAATTGAGTCCATTCTATTCAGAATATCCAAAGTCGTGTTTCTTATCGAACTACCCTCGTTGCATCCAATTTATTCCAGTTTATTTTAGCTAAATAATTATTCTTTGAATTAAAAAAACGTATTTTATTAGTTCAATGTCATTTTTTTCTGAGGGTAGTCTCAGAACAAAGTTGACGAGACGAGTGAATTGAGTCCATTCTANATGATCCCTGGAAGATCACGTCAGGTCGTTGTTGTATTCTTTGGATCTCGGCTCTTTTTACTAAGGGCCATGTACCATCGTTTTTTCGCCAACGTGCTTAGAACATAAATATCTAGACCTCGCATAGAAGTTGAAAAGGTAAACTCGAATACCACATGGACCACGTGTGACGACGGAACTCGGACCCAATCTGATTTTAGACCATATATTTATGTAGACCGCCTTGTAGGGGAAGGAGTAAACGAGTATACCACTTTTTTCGAAATAAGGAATTTCATGAGCAGCGCGTTATTTCTTAGGGTTTTCATAATCACGTGTTAAAGTTTTAGATAATTTGGTGCACCCAGTTTGGAGAAAAGTTTTATCAATATTTTGACTTTTTTGGTAAGTATATATCACACTTTCATATCACCTTAAGGCCTTAACTTTGATATAATTCCACCTTCGCGAAGACTGATCCATTTAATGATATGGTACACCGGAAGCATTTATAATCTCCATATTCAGAATATCATATTTGAAACAATTTGGTATACCCAGTTCGGAGAAATGTGTCATGAACAATAGTTGGATGCAACTTTCGCACCGCCTTAAGGTCTTAACTTTGGTCTGATCGCACTTTCGCGAAGACTAATCCACTTAAAGATACGGTACACCGAAAGCACTTATAATCTCCATATTCAGAACGTCAAGTTTGAAATAATTTCGTACCCCCAGTTGGCCGAAATGTTTCATGAACGATCGTCGCATGCAACTTTCGCACCACCTTAAGGCCTTAACTTTGGTCTAATCGCACCTTCGCAAAGACTGATCTACTTTAAGATACGGTACACCGGAAGCACATGGTCCAGTTAATCTCCAAACGGTACCGCATCACATCTCTGACATCCTTGTCAGTCTGAATTGCCAATACTGCCATTTCCGAGGTCATTTAGCCCAGCCCACTTGCAGATTTCCCGCGCACTGGAACTGGCGATTCCAGCATCCAACGTTATTACGCTGGGATTGAAACGAGATGTAATTCGGCGGAAGCGTTTTCGCTCCGTTTAGATCCGTAAGAAGATATCTCCGTCAAGAACGTGGACGTTACATCGGACGTGAATGTTCCTCTTCCCCGGTTCGTCGAAGAAAAGAAAAGAGATTAACACCACTCACCAGTGGTCCGGCTGGGGATCTTGAACCTCTTCTCCAAGGTGGTGAGGGTGACCACGATGTAGATGAAGGCCATGGCCTGGACAGTCCCCAGGAGTCCATAAACTGCGATGAAGTTCCTCGGGTTCGCCCTGGAGCGCAGCCAGCCGGGATAGAGACCACACAATCCGCACTCCCCCCTCATGGCATCCACTCTCTGAAACCGATTAACGTGAAACTGGACTATTCGTGTGTGTGGTGGTCTAGGAAGTGGCTACTCCTGTCTGGATCCGATCAAGTGGGGACGAGCAAGTTCATGACCAGGACCAAGACCAAAGACCAGGACCAAGACCAAGGACCAAGACCACGGTGAACTCGGTCTTGGCCTTGTAATTGCTCATTAGTATCATGATTGGTTTAATCTTGGTCTTGCATTTGCTCATCCCTACCATGGAAGTGGTGCTGGACTTGAATTTACTCATCACTGGCATTACAGTCTTGCATTTGCTCATCCCTACCATGGAACTGGTGCTGGACTTGCATTTACTCATCACTGGCATTACAGTCTTGCATTTGCTCATCCCTACCATGGAACTGGTGCTGGACTTGCATTTACTCATCACTGGCATTAAAGTCTTGCATTTACTCGTCACTACTTGGCGATCAAATCCTAGTCTTGATCGTGGTTTTGCACAGTTTTGCAATATTCCTCGTCACTATGGAAATCGCAAGCAAAAATCCCTGGAAATTGTTGGCAATCACGGAAACAGTATCACAATTTGAAGGCCAATTGTCCCTTGTTACCGAATTGCATTGTTTATCACATGCAATCAACAGAAATCGGCTGCCAAAGAAGGAAATCACGGATTTTAATTCCCGAAATCACGTGGAAATCAATTGGAAATCGCAAGCAGAAATCCCTGGAAATCGTTGGAAATCACCGAAACACTATCACAATTTTAAGGCCAATTGTCCCTTGTTACCGAATTGCATTGTTTGTCGTATGAAATCAAAGAGAATCGGCTCTGAAAGAAGGAAATCACAGACTTTAATCCCCAAAATCACGTGGAAATCAGTTGGAAATCGCAAGCAGAAATCCCTGGAAATCGTTGGAAATCACGGAAACAGTATCACAATTTGAAGGCCGACCGTCCCTTGCTACCGAATTGCATTGTTTATCACATAAAATCAAAGGCTCTCAAAAAAGGAAATAATTTTCTCCGATTTTCTCGATTTGGACTGTAGATGTCTTTCTAGGAGACCTCTCGCACCTTATCAATCTATCCGAGGAAATAAACTAAAATCAAAGCCTCGGTTACCTGGACGAAAAGTGGAGGCACACTATCAGTCCGTATTACAGGAGCCTTGAAGATAAATCCTTGTACCCTGGAGAGGGAGATTCCTCGGAGAAAACTTCAGACAAATGCAAGCTTAGGAAGTCAACCTTTGAGATAAGTCATGAGCATCTACGAAAATGCGAGAGCACAAAGTAGCAAAGCCCTCGAGAGCTTACAAGAGCGCACAAGATAACAGAAGATCACGATAATGTCTGCAAAAATGAAGGATCAGGAATTAGGGAGAAGATGGAAAAGTCTAAGAGCAAGATTCTACTTCTAAGAAGCGAAAAATGTATAGGCGAAGAAATGAAGAAGACCTACAGGTAAATCTACAATCTACTGAGGAATCTTCCGAGGGAATTCATAAGTCCACGAGAGCGCAAGGAGAGTACCAGAACGAGTCTCTCTACTTGAAGCGCTGCGCAAGACACATTATAAATTGCGTGCAATTGCCGTGATACAGCACCGAGGAAAAACTCATTGCCTCGGCTTGAATCGAATCGGGCCAAAGCCAGGAACCGAGAACCTAGGAACGTCATAGTAAAACCTATAAGTCGTTAAAAAGAAAAAGAAAAAATGACGCCGACTAATTTCGGCAATTTCGACAACTTCGACACCCTCTTCGTCAGTTCTCGCGTCGTATCGAGATGTTCCTAAAAAACATTACGATGTTTAACAAGAATACTCAGCATTGTTAAGGTGAAGTGAAACCCCCCTCTAATCAGTCGATTCGAATAAGACTTTTTTTCAAGGGTATTGGATAGAACCGTCTGAAACTTTGACACATGACACGTGAACACCTAGGAATTATCCTGACACTTACAAATTTTGGATTTTCAAAGAAAATTTGTTAACTTAACTTGCTCCTCGACGTGTTTCACTTCACCTTAAGTCTATGTCTGAGCTGCGACGTTGACATTGTTATCAGTGTCGCAGCTTACAAGATACTCATTCTTTTCATACCTTTCTTCTTAATCTCTGCATACACGAATTCTATTTTCTTCGACATCCACGTGGAAGAAATCGCGATTCGGAATGATTAAATGAACAATTCCTCCTTAAACGTTATTTGCATAAATGCTTTAAAGTTTTGCAATTAAAGGGAAAAATTTCAACGGGCAAATTTTTCGAAGAAAATCACTCTAAATGTTGAATAATTAAATAAACAACAGACTAAGACAAAGTATTTCCATTTCCTTTCTCAGGGATCTCAGAAAAACTTTACCGAGTAGGATTGCCAAATTTATTTTCATTTTTATCAATACTTATTCGGTGATTTGTTTTACTCTCAGACTTTCAAGAGCACTTCCGTGTACATCGAGTGCGACACATTGCGGGGAATTAATTTCGCTAAAAATGGCTCTTTGCTAATCTCGAAGGAACGAGGTGATCTCTTGATCACCCTTGACCATTTGCCATTGGAATACCTGATAAGAGTCGCCGCGAATAGTCGATATCGCTGTCATGTACTCCGACGTACTTGCACCATGCAAGTATGTTGAACCCAACACGGTACGCTGGTCGAATCTTTAAACATTACCGTGCAAGAATACCAAGTATGCGAATACTAACTAACCAAATGAGCATGCCGGATACTCGAAATTCCTGCGTTGACGCGCGCCTACCGAATGCAAAACATTTACATAATTAAGGTGATATGAAAGGGTCATTCTATATATATCAAATGTTATAATATTTATAAAACTTTTCGCCAAATTCGGTGCGCCGAATCATTTGCGACTTCAGCACGTGATTATGAAGGCCCTAAGGAAGAACGCGATGCTCGTGAAATATCATTTTTCGATTTAAAAAAGCCCTTCTTTTGGTTTTTCTCCGAATTAAATACACATTAAAAAAAAATGAAATTTCAAGGACATCGCGTTCTTCCTTAAGGCCTTCATAATCTCATGATAAAGTTTTAAATGATTCGGTGCACCCAATTTGGAGGAAAGTTTTATAATTATTTTGATTTTTTCGTGTGTATATATATGACACTTTTGTATGTATATATGACACTTTGGTATGTATATATGACACTTTGGTATGTATATATGACACTACATATGAAAATGGTGTTTAGTCGAGGGACCAGTCGTTTATGAAATCTTTTCTCCAAATCTGAAGCACTGAATCGTGGGAAATTTTACCAGGTTAATAGGAAGGACTAAAGGAAGGTCTTAACACTCATGAAATTCTATTTTTCAAATTCGTTACTAAACGTTTTATAAATTTCGCACAAAAAATGAACATAAACTCGTTCAGTGAAAAATATTATAAACGATCGACTCCTCGAATGGCACTTTCATACGACCTTAATTGTCTCTTCGCTTTCATTGATTAAATTTAATCTTGATAAATAAATTCATACCTTTCAATGACGTAGGTATCCGAAAAGGCGCAATGACGTTTTCCACAAGGAGGCTTGCGTAGTTAGTGATTACGATCATGCATTAAGGTGACATGGAAATCTCACATATACATACCAAAATGTCAAAATACTTGTAAAACTTTTCAAATTACTTGCACCGAATCATTTGAAATTTCATCGCGAGACTATGGAGGACCTAAGGAAGAACGCGATGTTCATGAAGTTTAATTTTTCGGGAAAAAGAAAATTGGTATTTATTTCGGACAAGAACGAAGACATTTTTTTTTTCGAAAAGTGAAATTTCACGAACATTGAGTTATTCCTTAGAGCCTCCATAATCATGTGTTAAAGTTTCAGATAATTCGGTGCACCGACTTTGGAGAAAAGTTGCAGATATATGTTGACTTTTTGGTACGTATATATCACGCTTTCATATCACCTTAAGGATCAGCCATTTCCCCAGATTATAAGGTTCATTTTTAACAATTTTACGCGCAATTATCAGTGCTCATTTCTGCATTTAGACCACTGCATGCGATTACGGAAAACAGTGGGCGAAAGACTCGAGGTCGAGACAAGATTGACGTTCGCCAGCGGAAACTTGTAATCGCATTTCGGTTAATCGGTGACCGGTCGTTATCGTTCATACATCTCGCCGTTATCGGCAGAGACGAGCGAGGGCGAGCGGAACTTGGAGGAGACGGCGATATGTGAATATGGACGACTAAAAACAAGTCAGAAGAAGGCGAACAAAGGCAGTGGAGATGACATTGATAAGGAAACGCAAGAAGAAACGATCGAAATGATGAATTATGCGGTGTAGATAAGGAACAACTAGAGATAATGGTATTGGAAAGAGAGAGGACGAAATGAAGAAGAGAAACCAAGGGAAAGCATTGAAGACGGCAGAAAGCCAATATTAACCCTTATCTCTCCGAGAATTTTAGAATTAATAATAGAAAATGAATTTAGAATTATTAGAAGTGTATTAGAAGTTGGCAGCATTACTGCCGGTTGGAGTGATAAGGGTTAACGAGCAAAGATCAAACAAGAAACAATCTCGGCACACGACGCTGCGAATTTCTCGCTCAAAAATGTATTTGACTCGAAACTCTATCGAGTTTCTTGATAAGGTACCTCGGATAACTCGGAAAATGGAAATCACAAGAAACATGAAGATTAAGAGACAAAAAAGATCGTCGAGACTAAAAGGTAACGTATAAGGTAGAAAAACAAAATGGTAGAAGTCGAGCAAAGACAAATAGATATGGGCAGAATATAGTGAAAACTGGAAGTAACCTAAAGTCGAGAGATAATGAAGATCAGCGAGATTAGAAGACAACATATAAGGTACAGAAGCAAAATGACGAAAATGAAACAAAACCGAAGCTAACCTAAAAATGAAGAAAATCGAGAGATAAAGAAGATCGTCGAGATTAGAAAATAACGCATAAAGTACAGAAGCAAAATGGCGGAAATAAAGCAAAACCGTAGCTAACCTAAAAACGAAAAGAACCGAGAGATAAAGAAGATCGTCGAGATTAGAAAATAACGCATAAAGTACAGAAGCAAAATGGCGGAAATAAAGCAAAACCGTAGCTAACCTAAAAACGAAAAGAACCGAGAGATAAAGAAGATCGTCGAGATTAGAAAATAACGCATAAAGTACAGAAGCAAAATGGCGGAAATAAAGCAAAACCGTAGCTAACCTAAAAACGAAGAGAACCGAGAGATAAAGAACATCGTCGAGATTAGAAAACAACGTATAAGGTACAGAAGCAAAATGGCGGACATGAAACAAAACCGAAACTAACCTAAAAACGAAGAGAACCGAGAGATAAAGAAGATCGTCGAGATCAGAAGGCGACGCGGAAGGAGGTCTAGGAGTCTCCATTCGACCTCCGATTCGAAAGCGGGTCATCTCGCGTCTCCTCCTCTCTATCTCTCCTTCCCCTCTTCACTGCTCATTGCAGCTTGGAAGGTGTTCTTTACTCGTTCCACCTCACGTGACTCTCGTGATAACGGAGGAGGTATTGGCGGCCCCGCCACCTATGCGGCCAACAACGATCATCCTCAAGATGAATATCAAACGAGGACTAGTGGCTATGGACTTCAACAAGCCGCCAGAAAAATAATGCTAAATAATGAAAAAAAAAAGAAATTACGTAAAATTATCCAACGTTTAACCAAATAAAACTGTTTAACCTAACAAAACTTAAGGTAATGTGAAAGAGT